CTAAAGCCCTAATCAGTTTATTGTCTCCCTTTAGGGAAAATAGAAACAAGTAATTCTAGGAAAGTCTGCATTAACAGGAAGAAGAAGAAAGAAATACAGCACATTTCAAATTAAAAAAACATACAATCCTGGAAGATAATACAATTTAATTTTACAAAATTATCATTAAAAGGTATAACTCCGTGGAGAAACAGTCTGAATAAATACAAGAACACCTTACACAGCAGATACCAATACTGAAAGAAGAGTAATAGAACTCTGGGGAAACCAGACACACCACTTTCATGCCAAGGAAATTAGCCCTTCTACCATTAGCCTTTACATAGGTTTTGATGTTATACCATGTGTTAATTATTTCCAAATCACAAGTGCAAACACTCACCTTGATTGGAAAATTAGCAGATTTCAAACTCAGGTAATTTCACCCTAATGAGTAACTTGTTGAACTGAATTTAACGATTAGCTCACACCCTTTGCTGGCTGGGTATGACAAGGCATGACTCAAAATTCACCTTTTTCAGCAACTGGCAATAAAGGATTAATATAAATTCAAAAATTGTTGCCATGCTGCTTCTAGTTCCTGCTTTGGTTCTTAAGCCAGGGATTTGCCAAGGATGATGGATGAGCAGGTGCTGCCTATACTGAGCAGCTCGCCCTTTTGCTAGGTACCCAGCCTCAGCAAAATGGATTTCACAGCTTAAAAGAGTTAAACTTCTGATTTATCGGTCAATATGCACAAGCCGTGGGCAGAGCTAACAAGCGAAGGTGCTCGCCACCCTTGATAAGCACCGGGGCTGCTTCAGCCAAGAGGGGTGGCTTGGCTTCTGTGGCTCTTGGAGAGGGCTGAGCCTTGACACTGCTCAGCTGCTAAAAGGTGCTCGCCACCCTTGATAAGCACTGGGGCTGCTTCAGGCAAGAGGGGGAGGTTTGGCTTCTGTGGCTCTTGGAGAGGGCTGAGCCTTGACACTGCTCAGCTGCTATTATTCAGCTACTTGGTGTTGCTTCTACAGAGTTTTGAATGCTTGTTTGTGTTGTTTTTTTCCTCACTGAGAGCCCTTGAGCTGCTAATTTTCTCTGTGTCAGTACTCTGTCCCTTGGCAGCAACCTTCCCTTTCTCCCTGCAGCTCTGCTCTGCAGAATGTCTGGCAGCACTTTCTCAGAGCTGAGCAGTTCTCCAGAATGTCTGCACCGTTTCAGCTTGTGTGGAAACTGTTCCTTGGTTCTCAGATGACATCTGTGATCTGATGCCTGAATCTCTAGAGGGGAGACTGACACTTTTCAGCTGCTACACTGCATTAAAGGAAACAAAAGTCATTTTATCCTACCACGAATTCTCTACATATGCTGTGATCCTACCCGCATCAGGGATGTTGGGCAGTAAGGTCTTAGAGAATGGGGTCTAGGTGTGGTTGTGGAGGGAAAAGACACCTGCAAATGAAAAGGAAGTTGCCTTTGGAGAATTCTCTCTCCTTAGAATTGATCAAAACTGTCCAAAATATTGTCAAAATTTGTCTGATTTCTCTCACAAAAATGAAAAGGCTGTTGAATAAAATCTTCATGTTTTTCAGTGCTCTTTCCACAGTAGGGATTCCTTTTCCTTGTTTGAAGAACAGTAAAGGCTATTCTGAGAGAACACCAACTGCTCAATTATTTCTCAGGAATAGGCATCGGTAAAGGTGTAACAAACTTCTTTTGCATGCAAATAAATGGCAACAAATAGGGTGGGCGGGGGAAAGAAAAATAATATTCTGCAAAAATAGGTGTTTTGAGCTCTTTCAATCTACTTGCTTTGATTGTCTTCATTTTGTCACCCAGCTCAATGTAGAGACATAGTCCTCTAGATTTCCCTGCTTTGGCTCCCTTTTGCTGAAACAAAGATGACTGTGCTGATTCAGACAACTGTTAGAATCACCAAGCTAATGCTCTATAAGGGATCTAAAGCAGTCAAGAGGTCAGTATGTTATCTAACCCTCCTCCCCCAAAAACTGTGTCTTAAAAATAGTCATCCATTTTACCTGGGAGCTAAGAAGGTGCAGGTAGATTCATGAGCTGTCCTGAAGAAACACGTGAATGACTGTCAGCAAAAGCAGCAGTCAGACTGTTTTTGAAAGGGTAAGGAAGCCAAATGCCTCAAATTATTCCAATTATTGAATAGGTGAAGTTGTTGCAACAGACCTATTCCAGCATTTGCATTAGGTGTGTAGCAAATGACTGCTGTGTTCTGTTATCCCTGAGGCTTCAGGGCTTCTCTACTGCTTACACTAAATCTATCTCTGCCCCAACTTGTCCAATTTACCACTGATTGTAATCCAACAGAATCATAGAATATGCTGAGGTGGAAGGGACCCATCGGGATCATCAAGTCCAGCTCCTGGTCCTGGCAGGACATCCCCAGGAATCACACCCTGTCCCTGAGGGCATTGTCCAAACACTTCTTCAACTCTGTCAGGCTTGGTGCTGTGATCACTTCCCTGGGCAGCCTGTTCTAGTGCCCAACCACTCTCTGGGTGAGGAACTTTTTCCTTATATCCAACCTAATCCTCCCGTGACTCAGCTTCAGGCCACTCCCTTGGGTCCTGTCACTGGTCACAACAAAGAAGAAATCAGTGCCTGCCTTTCCTCTTTCCTTCACAAGGAATTGCAGCTTCAGTGCAGTGAGGTCTCCCCTCAGTCTCCCCCAGGCTGAACAGACCAAGTGCCCTCAGCTGCTCCTCACGTGGCTTCCCCTCAAGGCCCTTCACCATCCTCATGGCCCCCTTTCCATGCTCTCTGATAATGTTACCCAAATCCTTCCCCTGCTCCAGTTCTGGGAACCCTGGGATCACAATGGTTGCTGTGGGTATTTTTCCTTGGCTTTTCTTTGGAAACAGCCATTGCACAGAAAGTAGGCTCTGGGTGTGCAGGCATGAGCCTACACCTTGCACATCCTCCCTGATGGGTACCCACATGAATTTTTCTCAAGCAAGGGAGGACAAGGCAGAGGCAAATGTGAGGGTGAAGGAGCAGACAGGACAATTGGAGGGTGGGATGTAGGGATTAGAAGATCTATAGCCAGCAGAGCAGCTCCTGAAACACGTCCTTTGGGTATTGAGTCATTCGGCCATTGGTGAGAGGCCTGAGACATGAGAAAAAAAAGAGAACAAGGCAGAGGCAAATGTGAGGGTGAAGGAGCAGACAGGACAATTGGAGGGTGGGATGTAGGGATTAGAAGATCTATAGCCAGCAGAGCAGCTCCTGAAACACGTCCTTTGGGTATTGAGTCATTCGGCCATTGGTGAGAGGCCTGAGACATGAGAAACACCAAGGCATGGCAAAGCCTGCCTTTCAAGGAGGCCTGCTGAGGGAACCTCTTCAAGGTTCCAGCACTGACCGTGCTGCAGCCAACAGGAGCCCCCACCATGGTCTTCTGAAACAGGAGGGATTCAGCTAGTGTTGCTTGAAAATTAATAGCTTGAAGGACAGGTGGAAAAGAAGAGCAGGGAGCAGCTTCTGTTTAGCAGCCCACTGCTGCAGCATGACAGCATGACAAGGTGTTAGAGATTCCCCCGTTGTGTGTAGGCTGCATTCCCCTGCATGACACTGCAGGAGATTTCATGGCCAGTGTTCGCCCTCCTGCCTGCATCTTCACACATGGACACCCAAAGCACACGACTCATCTTCTCCCATGTTCCAATGAATTCCTTCCACGTGCCTGAAGCCTCTTAACCCTCCTCAGTCACACACCTCTGTGTATCACTGCATGTGTATGCTTATCTCTGCTTAATGTTGTTAATCACGGAAAACACTGATAATATTACCTTTAGCCTTCCTCACACAATAATCCCAGGCAAACACAGCATAAAGGTTATGCACTCCCCCTAACAATTATTGCTTTACTACAGCTGTATAAAACGAGTTGTGAAATTTATCTTCTAGCTCTTGTCAACTGTTTTCAAATACTTCAATCACAAACACGTAGTTGAAAGTGACCTGAAAGGGATGGTTATCAGAACTGAGACTGAAGGAATTTCTGGCTCACTGTTTTGTTTTTCCATCCCCAGACTGATTAAGGTCCAGCTTGGAGGTGGTGACTGGCAATGTTTTCATTTCAGGAGTACCTGAATGCAGGCCCTGCAGTGGAGTCCACCTCTTCCCAGGCTCCTCCATAGGCAGGACACAGCTATTGGTCTGAGCCAGAGGAGGGCAAGAGAGTCTTAATTAAAAATAAAAAAAGGAAAACAAAATTTGTAACAATAAGGCCCACACATTCTGTTACAGTCACATAAACTGTAACTCAGGAAAGCTCTTAGGCATGTATTTAAGAAAATGTATGTCTAATTTTGCTCTGAAAAGGCTTCTGTAAGTAGGTGATGTTTGGAATGAGATCTCCATGGCTGTACACAGTAAACAGATTTGCTGCCAAATCCAAAGTTTGCTTGACAATTACCACAGTACATCTTATTGCTGAAATATGTCAGATGAAGGTCACAACAAGTATTAAATAACTATCCAAAAGCATAACTAAATCAGGCTAAATCAGGCCCACACTGATATTTACAAATACATTTAACAGACATGACAGATACCAGCCCAACAGCAATGAGTGAAGACTTTTGCTGTGCCCCAGCAGCCTCCTCTGGACCTACAGACACACTTCTTACTCATTCCATCTGTCTTCAAATGCACTCTCCATCCACATGGATCTGCTTTCCATGCCACAGATCCCACCCATCAAAGCATTCCCTTGGACCACTACAGAAAACACAAAGATGCTTTACCAACTCAAAATATTTTATTTTCCAATTGTGAAGCTGATTGTGCTTGCAGCCAACCATCCCCAATGCTGTTATGAAATTCAGTATTGCTCTTCAAGCCTGTGTTTGTACCTGTGGCTTAGATTGCACTGATAGAAAGCAACATTAGGAATATGCTAATAGTCATAATGTTAAAATACATTAAGAAGATTTCTCACGTTAAGAATAAGTTAGTGGATCCCAGCTAACTTACTCTAATGCACTCACTCTAATGCACTCACTCTAATGCAGAGTAAAAATTTTCACATAAATTATTTTTCAAGGGAAAAGTGCAAATTCTCTCAAATTAATGCAGTCCAAGACTGTCTACTTAGAAAAAAAAATTAAATATAAAAATTGCATCAACCATTTCAAACCAAAAATAATTCATGTTTTCTACTATAATGGAATCCTTCAGTTGTTAAAGAAAATATTGTTTCTGACCTCAATCAGAAAGAAGAAAACATTTTAAGTCAGCCCCAATTTCTACTTCAGGTGGTTCACTAGTTATTTTCAGTATATTTCATTTCCCACCAATTCCCAAACTGAATGCAATGTTTCAATTCAATGTGAGCCATAAATAAAGCCTGCTGTGTGTTGGAGTGAGTCCAGAGAAGGGCCACGAAATGATGAGAGGGCTGGAGCACTTCAGCCTCTGAAGACAGGCTGAGGGACATGGGACTGTTCAGCCTGGAGAACAGAAGGCTCTGGGAAGAGGCCACCTCTACTGTGGCCTTCCAGTACCTAAAGGGGACTGCCAGAAACATGGGGACACCCTTTTTAGCAGGGCCTGTTGCAGCAGGACAAGGGATAAAGGTTAAAAACTACAACAGCATAGATTTAGAGTACATATAAGGAAGACATTTTTGCAGAGAGAGGTGTAAAATAATGGAATGGGTGGCCCAGAGAGGTGGCAGGTGCTCTGGCCCTGGAAACATTCAAGGGCAGATTGGATGGGGCTCTGAGCAACCTGATCTAGGTGAAAATGTCATTGCAGGAGCTTAGACTAGATGTCTTTTAAAGGTCTCTTCCAACCCAAAGTGTCCTGTGACTCCATCTGCCCAGCTTTGTTCTCGTGCCCTGCTCTGGACACACTCCAGCACCTCAATGCCCTCTTTGTCACAAGGGGCCCAAACCTGAACAAAAGATTGCAAGTGTGGCCTCACCAGTGGGACAGTCCTGCTGGCCACACTCCTGCTGATCCAGGCCAGGTGCCACTGGCCTTCTTGGCCACCTGGGCACAGCTGGCTCATGTTCAGCTCTCTGGTGACCAGCACCCCAACAGTCCTTCCAATCACCCCCATGCCCACAGACACTGATAGTGCAGGGATCCTGAGTGTCATTATCCCCATTTAGCAAAGCACCATGTCACATCACAGACCAGAAGATATCCCAGACTCCAACTCCTACTTTCCTTTTCCAGTGACAGAGAACCTGCTGTCCACAGGAAGAACACCTGACATATTTACAAACAGTAACTTTGTGTATTTTACCAATTTAGGAGGTGAATTGAACAGGAATGTAAAAAATCTTGCCCTGGAGAGATCATTCTTTTTGTAGGTGGAGAGTTCACATGGGTTTGGGGATTTCAGAACAAACATGAGACTATATTTACTGATCAGAATTAGTAAATCTCATGGTTTAGATGAGAGATAATCTATTGTAATGGAGGAAGCATGGAAAAATGCTGTGTTGGACATATGACATCCATCCAGGGTGAAATAAGATTTTTTTAAAAGCCAAAAAAGATGAAAAATAATTACTCTGAATTAACTCTAAATTGTAGCCATTCTAATAGCTAAAATAATTTTTAAAAAATCATATTGTAAGACAGTTTGGCACCATCAAGTGCTCAGTAACAGTAGAAAATGGTATAAAATCTTAGTAAATTACATGGTGTCAAAACCCTCACACCATGCACACATGGCTGGAGAATCAACAGGATTATCTTTACTGGTCTTTCAGTACTGCAGCTCACAGGCATTCATGCCATGTTCTGACATGGACAGTGGCTATTTTTGGTGCAAGAATATACAAGTTCCTGAAGCTGATCTTACAGCTCCTGCATAACAGGAGCACAGGAGGCTTCTAAACCTTTGGCACTGCATCTTCAACAGCTGCACCATTCAGGATGATCTTAGGAGCCTGCTTCTTGTCCCCAGGTTCTTCAGCCACACACTCTGGAGGCTCCAGGTCATGGTATTTTCTCCGATAGACCATCCTGGAGATTACAGTTATCAGAAACATTTCCATGATGAGCAGCTGCTGGGCAATGTCTGCCAAAAAAAAAAGGGAGACAAAGAAAAGACCCCAGAAAAAGAAATTACTATCAGACAAAAAAAAAAAAAAAAAAAAGAATAATTAACTTATTAATTTTCACCTGTGCAAAAGGAACAAACTCTATATCATCCTGTCCCCATGTCTCTCACACTCAGCAATGACATCAGTTACAGAATTCCAGTATTGCCCATCAATAACAAAGCAATAAATTATGCATCCAAAATACAAGAGATTTAACAGTAATTATGCATATTGATTTCTTTTCCTCTCATTTCTGATTCCAGCTCTTCTCATTATCAATTTGTTCTCCAAAATCATGACAGCTATGAAACTTTTGTTATTGTTTTTAAACTAAAATTGAGATTCTCCAAAAGCTAGTGATACCATGAAATTTATATTTTGGGAAAAAACAGAGATTGCCATCAATGAACTGGTACTTTTATAAGTAAATGAAGAACATTCTTCCCTCAAAAAACTTACATGATCCTCTTGCTGTAGAGGAGAGTGGTGGAGCACAGGGAATGATTTTTTGTGTAGCGAATATGTTGATAATAGTGGTCTGCAGGTGGTTCAGAATGACAATAAACTGCACCAGAAAGGGAAAACAAATGCCTTAGCTACCAGAAAGGGGTTTATAGTTCACACAACAATTCTGCTTTGATAACAGAACCTCCTTGCTTGCCCTCCCTTTCCCCCCACCTACAGCAGGGTGCCTGCCATTCTGCAGAATTCATCTCAGGGTCAGGATGATATTGCTCTGAATAGGAGTATTAAATTAATCCTGGACTTGAAAAGTATTTCTTCTCAGGCCTTAATTTGTGAGGTACATTATACACAGACTGCACAGCAGGGATTTCAAATAATACTGAGTTCTGAATAATAAGTAACAATGTTTAAAAAATGACAGTTAATTTGACCCATGAGCTTATGTTCTTCCTTCATGGAAGAAAGACTCAAAGAACATTTTTCCTGTTGTCTCCTCTTTTTGCCAAAGCAGGGAGATATTGTGGTCCCCAAATTATATCAGACTGGCTGCTTTGACAGGAGGTTTGAGGGACTCTTCACAGCTTGAGTTCAGCAACCACCACTTGCTCATCACATTACATTGAGCCAGACCTTTGCTGCATGGAGTTATCCAAGTGCCTCTGTGGCTGCTGGTGGAACTGCCTGAGTCTAAACCCTCACCAACAGAATTTGCCATCCCAAACCTGAATTCACCCTAGCACAGCTTTGCAGGTGTGACCATGCTGTTTACTACCTTTATTAGTGCTTAGTAATTTACCTAACCTCAGTGCACCAGCCTTGATGCATGTCCTGCTCGAGAAGGACATATCCAAGGATTCTGCTGGACTCTATTCAGAGTGATGTGGAGAGGGTGGCCTTGTCCCTGTGCTTTTTCAATCTAACCTATGGGGTTCTGTTCCTTACTGTTTAATGATTTGCAGCCAGTATTTTCACTATTATCTAATTCTGAAGTGCAGAATGGCCAAGAAAAATACTGTTAAAACAGCATATTGTGGAATGCTGAAACAGTTCAAACAACAGCTGCCTGCACAATGCAACATCTCCTCTTGAGGTACACACCAGCATTTATTTTAACATTGCATTCAGGATACCACAGCTACAAAGCTTCCTTCAAGCCCCACAGAAAGTGCTGTTGTGGTTTCAGTGGTCTAAAGATAGACAGATTTTACATGGCTTTCACCTCTCCAGCACTCCTGAGACTGGAGGTCAATTGGCTCCAAGTGAAACTGAACAGCAGCCAAGGAGAGTGCTTCAAAGGGATACAGCTTTAATCAGGTAAAAATATGGCTTTGCACAGTGTATTTAATGGGGAAAAATACCATAAATTTTCAACAAAGGAGCAAGAACAAGAGAGGCAGAGTAGTATCAGCAGATAAGAGAAATTCTTACCAGAAATATTGAAGTTCTCACCTGATAAAGAGCAAACTTTGGGATAATGTTCTTACACTTAAGGAGAATCCTAACTTTTCGAAACATGATTCCTACTGCCCACAGAGCAAAAAGGGTGAGGGCACCAATGAAGCAGCTGATCCACAGCGCAGGTCCTTTGGGAGACAGCTGAGAAGCAGATCACACAACCTTAGACAACCTTACTTCAGTGTTTCCAGGGGGAAGTTATGAACTGGCTGATGCTTTTTTCTATCTGCATGAAAGCTGGTGGCAGCAGCAGTTGCTGGGTTTTGCATGGGGAAACTGCCCAGCACCAAGTGGAGTGCTGGCACAGGCTCTCCTCCTGCAGGCACCAGCACAGAGATGTGCTCAGCCTGGGGAGGTGCCAAGTGACACAACCCCTCCATGTGGCAATTGCCATGGAGTGTGTGCCTTTTCAGAGACCCCAGCAGCACCTGCAATGCTCAACAGCTCATGAGAGCATGTTCAGCCTGACTTCTCAGGCAGGTCATTAATTTTGTACCATGAAACAACAACCAAAATATTACTGTTAGTCTGAGTAATCCAAGAGGTGCCAAATAATTTTCAGATACAGATTTCTCCATCATCTTGCAGGTTACATGGTACAAAGAAGAAGTACAAGTATCTTTTAATTTTGCACAGATATAAAAATCACCATGTCTTGCTGAAAAACATAGAATTAGGCTTCCTGTTAACATGCCAGTACATACACTTATTTCTTAAGGCTGTACCTTACAAAACACGGGGCAGATACATCCCACAGGGCAACTTGCAGTCCTGCTATTCCAACCATACCATCTGGGAAATGTATAATCTGATGCCCAACCCCCTTGATGCCCAATTTCTTTCCAAGAGACTTGAAGAAGGCAGAAATCAAGGAGGTCAGGAAATTATATGCTTCAGGTCTCAAAAGAATACAGTAAGGACTCCCTTGGAAATGGTCCTAGATTTCACAGTTTAGTTGTAGGCCAGGGTAGTTACATCAGCCCTGAAACCTTTGGATTTTGAGGACCTTCTCTGATTAAAACAGTTACTTACATTGTAAAGAACGTAATTGCCATTAGTCCAAAGCACTATTGATAAAAATATGAGCACAGGCCGAAAGACAGCAAACTGAAAGGTGCCCAGCTTCAGCCAAAAGAGGGTTTGCCTGGATTAAAAAAAAAAACAAAACAAGGCAACAACAACAAAAAAATAGATAGGCCAAGATTGTATTAGCAACCTTAATAACATTTTCTGGATACTGTCAACTGCAAAACTTTTCCACTTTTGCAGCATGTGGCTAAAATCTGGGGAGGAACAGCTTCAAGATCAGAAAATATTTCCAATAATTTCCCAATGTTTATTTAATAAAGTCTCTACGAAAACAGTACTTTTCCCGCTCTGCAGCAAGTACATACTAACCAAGGCTGGGCAAAACATGATGTCTTTCTCTGCCCTGGAGCCAGCCAGGGAGACAGTGGCTGCATAACCGGTTTCTGAACAAGGATGCCATTTGCCCTTGCCTTGTTGCCTTATTATTTCAGTCCTCCCATGAAACTGGACAAATCAGCCTGTTCAGCCACTTCCTAGCCCTGTGGTAGATCAAGAAGGGATCACAGACACCCAGGTGAAAGGACTGGTGGTTTTTCAGTGCATCTTGAAGAGTACCATGTAGGACCTGGGCGTGCCCTCTGAGCCTAACAGGAGAAAGGAGCAGTCTCTCACTGGGCAAACTGCACAAGGCCAGCAGGAGAGCTCAGGATTCCTTCACTTCTGTCACTGTAAAGTGTCACCATAAAGCACACCTGTAACCTGGCCAGCCAGCACTGCAGCCCACCAGGAGAGGGGCAGATGAACTTTCTAACAGAGGGCATGGCAGCTGACTGAGCTGAGCTCTCCATCAGCTTTCACAGGGAAGCTGCAGCAGCTACAGCTGCCTCATGGTTTAGTCTGTTACTGTGCATTATTTTCAGTGCTGTTTTCACTGGAGTTCCTTGGGCCCTGCCATCAGAGATGTCTCACAGACAACAGGCTGCCACTTAGTGTGCCAAAGGACATAGCCATGAACCAGGAATTACAGGAATTGCTCAATGAACACAGCTAGTAACCACAGGATTATCAACAGCACAAACCCATGTGGAAAGACCAGCAATGGGCCAGCCACTTAGTGTGTACCTTTCCAGAGATTTATTATCCCCAGAGAGCTTTAAAGAATAACACATACGACAGAGAGTGCAGTCACTGCAATGCCACGAGTTGTTTCCCCTGTTAACACAGGCCCACCTTTACTGATCACCAGCTCTCTTCTGCCACACCTCTCCCTGCAGCATGGATTGTTACATTGCCTCAGCTGTACCTTGTTGTTTTCCCTGGGACTGCAGATATATATTGGTTTTTTTTAAAGAATTAATCCCTCCCTTGGGGTAGCTCCCTGTTTCCCCATAGTTGCATGGATTGTTACATTGCCTTGTTGTTTTCCCCAGGACTGCACATATATATTGTTTTGTTTTTTTTTTAAAGAATTAATCCCTCCCTTGGGGTAGCTCCCTGTTTCCCCATAGGATATCTATGGAAGGAATGTGAGACTGACTTTTCTCTCATATAGCTTGCCAACACCTTTTTTTCAAAAGGCATCCTGCAGTGGGAAAAGACCTGAGGTTAGAAGCAGAGAGCAAATGGGTTTCCCAGTGGTACAGACACTGGAGAAGGAGGCCTAAGCCCTCTAAAGCCTTTTTTTTTCTTTAAACAGACAGTTGTCCTTCCTGCCAGCAGTAGAGGCACTGTCTAGCCCCTGAAATGAGTCCATACTAGCTGACATCATCCTGCATAAGCTGCTACTGGGCTGAACAACAGCAAGGCAGTGCAGGGGATCCTCTCCCAGGCTCCCAGCTGCTACAACCTATGCTCTATTAAAATAAAATTATGGAAACTGAAGTTTAAATTCTAATACCAAACGAGGCAGTTTAAGGAAAAATTATTGTAATAAAAAAATAGAATTTTTGAAAATGCATCAGAAACCACTATGCTGTGTTCTGTTTGCTGCTTTTCTCTAAACAGATTGTACAGTCCCCTAGGACCCTCTGACACTAAAGTCCATACCCTCATAGAAAAGTCTCTTTTCAGTCCCTCAGGTTTTGCTTATAATGAGAGAAACAGTTCTGTAACTATGATATTTTATGAAAAATCCTTTTCGCCAGGATTTTTCCCCTCCTGAGGAGCTGGGAGCTCCAAGAAAGAAATGTAAACAATAACAATCTGCTGCTGTGGAATGCAACAAGTGCATCTGTGATTAGTGCATGTTAGATGTTTCTGATTAAGAGCCAATCACAGATGCAGCTGCATCGGACTCTGAGAGTCACAAGATTTTGTTATGCATTCTATTCTATTCTTGTTCTTTGTAACCTTCTGATGATTCTTTTCTCTCTGTTCTCTTAGTATAGGTTTAATGTAGTATTTTAATATAAGATAATAAATCAGCCTTCTGAAAATGGAGTCAAGCCTCGTGTCTCCACACATGGGGTGTTTGCCACAACACAGTCCCATGCTCTATGCCAGTAGGAAAGTCAGGGAAACACACGAGGCTCCCAGGCTGTGGAGTGCTGTGTGAGTGCTGTTTTAAAGTCAAAATCAGAATGAAACATTTCCATTTTATCAAAGTGAGAGAAATTCTCTATCAAGAGAGCCTCCATTTGACAATTCTGCTTGTGAAAAATACCCAATCTCAAGACATTTGTTCCCTTCTGGAATGAAAAGAAACTGAAATGTCAATTATTAGGTTTTCTAGAGTTGAATTTTCTCCTCCCACACGCCTCTGCATTATAGAAACGAAATAAATTAGTGGTGGTGTACAGCCCCAGAGTGAGGATGCTGTTTAAAAGAAACAGTTTGAGATGTCTTGAGACTGACTTTGGGGAAGCTTTGCTGTAAGCCTGGCCCTGCCATGCTGGCTGAATTCCAGCAGCCGTTTTCAAGCTCCTTAAAGGGAAATCCTACAGGGGTGACTCACCTGGTGATGGGCACACGGGGGAGGCAGAGGCAGCAGCAGCAGCAGGGGCCGGTGGTGATGGTGAAGTGACCATTCTCAAACCGTCTGAGGAGCACCTTCTGCCCTCCACACTCTTTAATCATCATCATCAGGAACTTGTGGATAACTATGGAAAAAAATCTAGGAGAGGGAGAGAATTCCAGCTTAAACTTGCCTGTGTGTCTCGTATGCCCGTGCAGGCCAGTGCCACCTCCTGTACAGGGCTTTCACAGCTTGTGCTTTGCAATCAACAAAAATTCTAGCTCTGTCTTTGAGACACCTTCTGCTTTCCATCACCTTGGAGGAGCAGAACTGCCCGACCCTCCCTGAAAGAGGAATAAACTGAGGCACGGAGCAGGTGTGGAATCTCCAAAGCTGCTCTGGTGGCTGGTGGCAGAGCTGATGTTAAAACACAGGCTTTCCTGGCCCCAGTCATTCTGGCTGTGGTTTTCCATAAGTTAGCTAGTTCTCACTAGTCCCAGCTTTTTAGAACAAGTCCTCTTGCTCCTCAAACATGGCTTTCAACCAACAAACACGGCTAGGTTCACATACATAGCTATCATTGAATGTGCTGGCCCAGGCAGGGTGTGGTTCCTCTGCAGACAAAGCACCTACTGCTGCAACCCCGCCTCTCCCTCCTTCCCCAGCTGCACATTCTCAACCCTACCCAGGAACTGCAGATTATGCCACCAAACATGGAAATCCAATCAATAAAAGAGGTCCTCTTCTGCACTGCCTGCAGCTTGGGCAAGGGAGAAGAGGGAATTTAAACATGTTTGAAGTGCCACAGGACTGCATTGTTGGAAGTTTCTGGCAATCTGCACTACCTGCACACACTGTCACATGCCAACAGTATTCCCTAATACTGTGTTGTCCCTCCTCTTTTAATCTTTTCCTCATCTCCAGATGTGGAGTGCTCAGGGCCACGGCATACCCCTGCTTGGTCCTGCCCACCAGGGCTGTGCCATCACCTGCAGAAAGCAGGGACCACAGCTCTCCCTTCTCCTCTGTGCAAGCCAGAGCTGTCATGCTCACACATAAAGTGCTTTTATCAGGACAACTGTGGAACATTTTTACATTGATGTGCTCACTGGGGGCTCACTTGGCACCATTAATAATAGACCTCCAGGGCTCATCTTTATTAAAAGTGCAGGGAAGAAGTCACAGGCCAGACTCTCATTCCACATGAATGCAGAGAGAGCAGAGACAGACTACTGCTCCAAAGAGACTCAGTCCAAGGAATCAATTACATGTGAGCCACAGATCCTTCATGCTGACGTTCCCACACTAGGGGACTGTAGCACTGGGAACTGTTTCAGCATTTTCCACCTCCCAGGAAAGAGCTGCCAAGAGATTTCAACTCAAACAAAGAAATTACTGAATTGTTAAATTTACAGAATGACTGTGTTACCAAGAGCAGCAGATGCTTAAAGGGAAGAAATTTGGGGTTTGGAGCAGCACCTAGAAACAAGCAGAATACTCACATTCCTGCTGTGAAATCTGTAAACATTGTTGAGCGAGGAACCCACATGCCAATGCATGAAGTAGTAGAGATCACCTACAGAGAAAAGGGAGGAAGGCTGTATGAAGGGCAGAGAGCTCATGTGGCTCCTGTGGATTTTCAGGGAAGCCTTATTTTCAGCAATGAATTTTATCTCGTTTCTATGTTAACTTACTGGAGCTGCAGCATTAATCCAAATTATGATTGATCTTTTGGAGGAGGGGATTTTCCTGTAGATGTAGACTGCTTCCTCTATAAACACCAGAATGGCAATGAGCGTCATCAGAGTCAAGGTTGCAAAGAGAAATCTCCCTGGTAGGTCAAGGCCTGCAGAGAGAGAAAAGAAAACAGACAGTTCTGATTTATTTCATAAGCTTTTCAAACATTAATGTAACAACACCATCTCTGAGGGGCTTCTTTGCCTTATTCCTGCAAATACTTGCACTCATCTTTGGTTACACAGGCAGACCACTGACTCCACAGAACCATTCAAATACTGAAGTTCATGACTAGATCTTTCCAGGATCCACAGACAGCAGGCAGGAAGAATCCGCCTTCACCTTCTGAAAGCATTATGCAATAGTCCATTTCAGAAAAGGGGAGTTCCAGGACAAATATCCTTAGATAAATGTAAATATGTAGCAGAAATAAATACATAATCTGGAAACTTTTCCAGGCAGACTACAAGCAAACATGTATTCACTCAGTGTTAGTTCTCTGCTTCCATCATATGCTCACAGGCATGTTACATGTAACTTCCTCAGGCAGCCAAACTTACTAGAAGCTCGGTGGAATTTTGCATGGCACGCTAGCAATGTAAGGAAAACCCTCTGATATACCAAGCCTGAGATAAAACTTGGTTTTTTTCTTCTCCCTTAAACATTTCAATATTTACCCATAGGTGATGATAGGTTTTATGTCTCTATTGACATGGGGTATGGTTATCAACTTTAGCCCACAATGGACAGTTGAAGTGCATTTTCTCCCAAGGCATGTGTTTCCAGAGACAGAAAAAATGGAGTAATGCTTAATTTAGAAGTTCATGCTCATCATCAGTACGAGCTCCTGTTGGACCCACAGCCTATCTGAAGGCAAAGCAGAGCCTCTGCCCAGCCTCTTTAACCTAACCTGCTTCAAAAAGCCCCGGCACTTCCACGCTTGGCTGCAGGCGGGGCAGTGCAGGTCTCCGTGGACATCTCCACTCCTTCAGTCTCACGGAGGGAGCCCGAGACCCGAGACCGCAGGGCCGGTTCAGCGCTGGGTCCCGCTGGCATCCCCCCCGAGCCCGGGCCGGGCCGAGCTGCGCCCTGCCCTGCCCTGCCCTGCCCTGCCCTGCCCTGCCCTGCCCTGCCCTGCCCTGCCCTGCCCTGCCCGGCCCTAGGCGGAGGCTCGGCGGGACAGGCGGGTCCGCCTCCGCTCGGGGATTTCCTCGCGGGGCAACAACGGCGAAGGGACACGCAGGGACAGGGACAGGGGATGGGCAGGGATAGGGCACAGACAGGGACAGGGGCAGAGGGACGGCCACGGACAGGGACACAGGCAGGGACAGGGGATGGGCAGGGACAGAGGCACAGACAGAGGCAGAAGCACGGACAGGGGCAGGGGCAGCAGCGAGGACAGGGACAGGAGACCGCAGGGCCGGTTCAGCGCTGGGTCCCGCTGGCATCCCCCCTGAGCCCTGCCCTGTCCTGCCCTGCCCTGCCCTGCCCAGGGCCAGGCGGAGGCTCGGCGGGACAGGCGGGTGCCGCTCCGCTCGGGGATTTCCTCGCGGGGCAACAACGGCGAAGGGACACGCAGGGACAGGGACAGGGCATGGGCAGGGACAGAGGCACAGCCAGAGGCAGAAGCACGGACAGGGGCAGGGGCAGCAGCGAGGACAGGGACAGGACAGGGGCAGCCCCCGCCATCCCGCCGCGGGTGGGTGCCGAGGGCGCTGCCGGGCAGGGCCGCCCCGGGTGTCCGGCGGGCAGCCTCCTCTCCCTCTCCCTCTCCCTCTCCCTCTCCCTCTCCTCCCGCCCCGCACTTACTCCGGAGAAGCTCCTCCGAGTAGGGCGGCTCGCTGGAGCCGCAGGACGGGTGCAGGGTCCCGTTGGCCTCGCCCTCCATGGCTGCGCGGCCCCGGCGGAGCCCTGGCGGTGCCGGGGCTGGGCACGGCTCGGTGCGTGCCCGGCCGCCGCTGCCGGGCGAGTGCGGGCGGCGATGCGCGGCGCGGAGCCGGCGGCCGGGCCCGGTTAATGATTAGCCCGGAGCCGGGCGGGCGGCGCAGGGACCGAGCCCGGACTGCCTCCTGGCGCCCGGCACGGCCGCACGGGCAGCGCCGAGCCGGGCAGAGCCGAGCCGGGACAGAGCCGAGCCGGGCAATGCCAGCCGGGGCAGCGCGCCCACCCCGCGCCCATCCCGGCTGCCGCGGCCGCGGCTGCTCCCGGCTGCTCCCCGGGTCTCTGCCCGGCCTCGGTGGAGCTGCCTGCGGCACCCGGCGGGCCCACAGTCACAGTCCCAGCGTGCCGGGACACCTGCAGTCGGGCCTCGGCAGCCGAGGGGCGCTGGAGCCGGCCGGGGGCTGGCGGGATCCCCGGGGCCGTGTCCGCCTTCGCTGCAGCCCCGGGGCACGGGCGGAAGCTGCTCCGTCAGGGGGGCAGGTGTTTGAGGGACTTTTCATGAAAACCCTTCACCAAAGGCTTCCCGATCGACTTGGCTGCGACGAGATGAGACGCTGAAAGGGAGTGGAGTGAGGGTAGGAATATACCGAGAGATTCTCCACTTTCCCACACGCTTCCTCTGCTGGAAGGATTCTTTCTGCAGCCTGAGCACTTTCAGGAAAAGGGAATGAGTACCGAAATGATGGAATTTGGTGACCCACCAGGTTGTTCAGATACTCGCGCTGAAAGCTGGCCAACCCTAGTGGTTAGTGCGCTGAGTGACAAAAGGACAGGGACACGCTGTAACAGTGAGCACAGAGGGTGTCCGGGGGAAGGAGGACAGTCCTAATTACCAGTGCAGTGATAAGCGATTGCCGCTCATGAAAAAGATCCTGGAACACAGTGGACAGTCTTCAAAAATGACAGCAAGAATCAGCATGGGACAAAATGCAAAGGACTGTGAGAAATTTGTGGATCAATAAAGGAAGACACAAACCAGCTAAAATACATACAGAGGCCTCCCTTCACCATGCTGGTGTTCTAGAAAATTGAACAAATTGAAGTGGGGAGGTGAGGAATTTAGGGACGTTTTTAAGCACCAAGGGCCCTTGTGGTAAAAGGCTTGTGCTCATCTTGCAGTTTTCACAGGATTTCCAAGGGTTTTACAGGAAGGACAGGCCGGACACTGAAACACTGCCAGCAGGAACACGAGGATGCAGGGGAGAACGGGACTGCTCACTGTCTAACACCAGCAGGTATCCAACTGAGAGAAGGCAAGCTCCTTCCAGAGTGGCAGGATTTGGGAGCAAGACAGATGAGGCTACTGACAGCCTGTTCTGTTACTGTCAGGAGAGCTTGGTTACAGATCAAAGTAATTTATTTCAAGTCGTCCTTGGCATTGCTGGCATTGTTTTCACTGCACTGAGAGGTGAGGTTGAAAGCCTTCCAGTTTCACCAGAAAGGGATGCGACAGTGAGTGGCTGTTGGAATGTGGAATCTGCCCACTTCTGCCCAGAGCATTCTCCACCCAGCACATCTGCTGCCCAGCTGCAGAAACATACAGGCAAAATCCATGAAACACTGTTCCAACTTATTTTCTATTTGAAAGTCTGCTTTCTCATCCTGAAGAAACAGTTGCTGGTAGGAAGGGAAATTACCTTAGAAGTGCATTCATTTTCTACACAGTTTGGTTGATTTTTTTAACCAACTATTTTCAGGAGGTCATATTCCAAAATACGACCAAAGTCTCATTAGGATTGTTGAGATTTAAAGATGGCCCAAGGCTTTTGAATGTTCTTCCTCAACAACAGGATTTCCATCTGTTGCTATTTTGGTTGCCAGCTCCTTTTATTCTCTAAAAGCTAAAAATAGAACCCCCTTACCTGTGAATTCCTTTTTCTGAATGAGGCAGGTTTGGCAATGCTTGTGTTGAAGACATTCATACACTAACTATAAGAGACTCAAGAATTCTCTGAACTCAGTAGCAGCTTTGGATTTGACAGTCATATTTAAGCCTTTCAGAAATACCAGTTTGGAACAAACACTGCAGCAGACACTGAACGTGGCATAGAGAGTTTTCTGTCTCAAACCTATAGAAAATTAACAGGGTGAAGTTTAGAGGTACAGGATTAATTCCCACCTGGTGCTGTAGGGATCCAGCTCTCCAGCTCTCTTCTACTGGAACATCTAATGCAAAACAGAGTCTAAAAAGAGAAGCACAGACCTACTGTGATTCCTTTTTTCTAGAAACACCATTTGCCATTTTTGGCTCAAACATTGGACCCACTTCCATAAAAGCTGCCATATGTCCTGGAGGGAGCATGCATCACCTCTTCCTCATATTCTGGACTGTGTCTTGGCAACAATATTTGCCTGACAGTGTTTAAATGTAATGAAGCAAACTGAAGAATGTGCCACAATCCCTCAGTTACCACAGCTGGAGGTCTGCTGCTCTGTACTCATTTTCTTAGACCAGGCTCTTCAGCAGTGCCCTCTCTGCTCTGCCCTCTAAGCCAAATGCTGTGTCTCTACATCAACAATCCTTTAAATTCCAGTAAGCCTGAGTATGTTTTCCTCCCAGCTTCACTATTCCAATTTTTGGTTTAACCTTTTAGTTCAATATATTGTATTTTCCATGAAAAACCAACCAACCAACCCCCAAAGCCACCTTCAGCACTGGATGAGTATTTATAAATGGATCACCTATCCATTTAGATCCATCAAGAGATTGTCACAGGTCCTCGACTAAAAACCACCTCTGAATACAGTTTCCTTCCTCTGTTGACCTGGGGCTTTCAAGTTCTTTGTGGTTCAAGCCCCTTCCAGACAATGCACAGCTCAGACTTGTTTCTTCTCAAGAAACCTTTGCTTCTACTTTGCCCCTTTGCTTCTACTTGTGTTCATCTTTTAAAAAGCACTGCAGATGCTTATCTTTCTTCCATTTTTGTGATGGCTTTCATTTTACATCAGCATCACCAGTGCAGATGGGAAAGATGGGAAATGCAGCCCCTTTCACAGAATCATTTGTTCCAGAAAAGACCTTTTATATGACTGAGTCCAACCACAAACCTAACACTGCAAACAGTTCTGAGGCAAGGTTAACTCAGCCCCTGGAGAGGTACACGAGCTTCGAAACCCTTACATTCCTTTAGTCAGTGAATGTACATCACCTGGAGAATGTTCAGCTGATTCTGAAAGGGACTCAACAACTGTGAACTCCAGGGACAGATACCAACATGTGGAGCAGCTGCCTTTGCTAAGTAAGGTTAAAAAACAAGGTAGGCATTTCAGGTTCAGTTGCACAAAGTAAAGGATTTGAGTTGTAGATGAACAAGCTCCAGAGGTGCCAGAAGGAAAGGTTACTATGCCTACCTGATTCTCCTCTGCTGACAGTTCTGGTCATGGACCTCCAATCACATAGATAAACCAGCCAGTTGGGCAGAGACTAATTTTTTGAACTGTTTTACCTCCTCCCACTGCATTTGCTTAAGACAATTTGGAGGCTAACTGATGCAGGGTGGTAAACTGAATCATCCCAGAAAGAGACTAATACTCATTAACAGGAGAGGTAATTATCCTTCTAAGTGCTGTCGCAGGATTTGAAATGCTGCATTTGTACACTAATTTCATGAAAAAGGAGATAGAGCTTCAACAGTACCTCTGCTGGAGTGTGGACCCAGGGAGTGCTATGGAAGTACTTGCAACTATGCTTACGTGAAATGATGTGATCTATACCGATGCAAGAAACTCATAATGTCTGTAAAAACTTGTGCAAAGGAGTCTTTAAACTTGGGTTAATATTTCAATACAGTGAAAGCAACTGGTTCTTCATTCATTTTTCACTGTGATGGACAGAAAGCAAAAAGAAATAAATATAAAGAAAAGGAACATACACAGAAAGGGAAGGAAAAATGAAATGTGAGAGGAAAAATTATACTAACTGATGATTTAAAATAATGCCAAAACCTAGACTTAATTTGTTCTCTCTCAGGAAGAGGGGTATCTCCAATTCCCTTTAGAAGAAATTTAGATTTCCTCTGTGTGCTCTGCCTAAACAAAGCTATGCACTAGTCAAACATGAAGCACTAGATGAAAATTCAGAAGAACTGGGTGAAATTACAGGGAAGGAAAACCAACTTTTTGAGTTTCTGAACTGTTCAGCAGAGTTCAAACTAAATTTGTGTTAGAAAAATAAGTCATCAATTTTCAGTGCTACAGGAGACTGTACATAACATTTCTCACAAGTTTGGATACCCAGATAGGAACAGAAGAATCAGCTAAAATTGTTCAGATTTCAAAGGAATGTACATATTTAATAATTAAATTAAATCCTGTTTTCAGCAATAGCATAATATACAGTTGGACGTACATGCAAGTCAGCCTTTTCCACTATAAATCTGTGGATTTTTCACCAAGCACCAGTAATAAACTACCTGTTTTAGGAAAGGTGCGTTATTAATGTAACAAAAGGAACATCTATATCATTGTAAAAGAAATTAATAAAGGGATTTGCTTGTTATCTGGATTATGACAGCAACTATAAAAAGAAATAAATACAGTCATGACAATGAAATAAAGAGAACAAAACTGAATTGTAATTTTAGTGCTTATTCAGGTGGACAAATTTCTACATTAAAAAGAATATCAGATGTGCCAGAAGCTTTCATGCTCTTAAGAGGAAAGCTTAGACAAAGGCTCTTATCAGTACAGAAGCAATAAAAGAGAAAAAAGAGGGGCTTTTATTAAACCTGAAACTAACAGGTTTGATTTTATCTTACTTCTGAAGCAGCAGATCAGTTTCTGGCAGCCAATAAAGGGGACAAATGCAGAGACAGAATCAAACTATTAATTTTTTAATGTATTGTTACACTTTCCTCCAGTTACAAGTAATTATTTACCCTTGTCTTACCCTTTGAAAGTAACTTAGGAGCAATTGCTTGTGTCAGTAGAATCACAGAAAGGGAATTCACAGTACTTCATAGTAGAACAAAGAGCTGAAAGAACCTTATAAAATTAGGACC